AATTATTTTGAGATCATTCTCAATCTTATGTTCAATTATCATCATTGAGATTCACTGATATTTTGAAGTAACATACAGATAAGATTCTCTCTCGATACGAGTCACCTTCAAGCATCAACCGTAATGTGTTCAGAACCACCGTTGAGGTGATTCGACGTTTGTGAATGATCTCAGCAAATCCCAAATTTTTTGCAATTAATGAGTTTTTCATTTGATCAGCGAAAAATGGCACTGCCACTATGGGTACACTGGCACAAATTGATTCTTTCAAACTGAAAAATTAATGTGAGCTTGAACAGACTGAAACAGAATAATGAGAATGAACAATGAAATCGTAAAATGTGTTTGCTGCATTTCAGTGATTGCTTTACGGGTTCGCAAGCATGCAGTTCAAGCTAACTGATTCAGTGGCAAACAAAGAACGCACGAACATGACAATAAAGTCATTTCTGAATTTCTTAGGGAAATTGTCATGAAATTTTGATCATTCGATCAGTTTGCTCGTTAATGCCGAATAATTTCAATCAAAAATCTCAGCAAATGAAAATATGTATCTTCAAAGATGTTTCCACATTTTGATGGTAAGAACCTTTTTAAGCCAGCATGCGTAATGAAGAGTTTCGTGCGATTGTGGTGCAAAAGAGCCGCTTGAGGTGCCCACGAGAGTGTTTTGATGTGAGTGCGCAATTGGAGCGGTAATTTTTCACCAGACGTCCATATGATACGATAGTCGTGCAGCGAATTGAACGCATCAATGAAACTTTGAATAACCTGAAATAAGTTTTTGAATAACCTGAAATAACCTGAAAATATGTATCAAATGTTTCATGTTCTCATCTCACCAGTAATCTTATCTGACATGACTGAATCACATACTGCTCGCAAATAACGATCAACGATTCATTAATCTGCATGAATAAGATGGTGAAAAGAGTAGTCACGAGAGTTGTGTAGAAGCAAGAGTATATTTTTTCACTCTGACTGTTCTTTTCCTTCGCAGCAATTTATTTCACTCACTACGGTAGTGATAGTGAGGACGTTCTTCTGAATAAGAATAAGGGTATTTTCAGAAATTTTCAAATATTGCTGTTAAATGAAATAAGTATTAGATGTTCATAATGCGATATCATTCAAAACGATATTTTTTAAATTTTATGAAAGTGAAACGGTACTAAGGGATCGACATTACGGTGCTTATCAATACAAAGTATGTGAAAACGAGATGAATGCAGAAGACCTACATTGTCCGGAGCAGTTGCCCAATTAACAAGCGACCCAAAGGCCATATAAATAGTTCCTTTCGATCGTGGATCATCAACGAATTGTTTGATTTCATTCGACAGAGGTTGTGGAACTTAAAAAGTGGTGAAATTTTCGCATTGCAATTGCGGAATATTTAATCCAACTCATTCTGTGTGAGCGAAATTACCCACGCACACGTGTGAAGAGAAATCGAAATGACTCTGAGCTCGCGCTGAATCTTCATATTGATTCGTAAGCATGACAACATCTTCAATGGTTTTCAAAGGGCTTAATTCATAATATAACATTGATAATTGTTAGCCATGGTTGTCCATAAGATGATCATATGATTATCGTTTTGGATCACCTAAGTGCCTGAAGTGATCAGTCCCAAAGCATCCAACCGTTATCGGTTGCTATTCTCACGACAAAGAGTCACAACGTGGATGCATAAGATGTTGAAAAACTATACCATCACATGGTGGTGTCGTGAAAACGATTGAATTTGAGATTGCTGTAGGCCAATAGGGCTTATCGAAGTAGTCAACGAATGTGATGGAAGAATGCTGAATAACAACACATATCATTGAGCAATCATGACAGATACAGATACCTCAATTTCTAGATGCTCTCAATCTGATTGCAAATCATACTCGTTATCATTGCAAAAACAAATATAGCATACCTATTGATATCAGTTNACGATTCACGGCCAGTATCACAGACTCTGATTATAGCTACTGTCAGAAACGGTATTTCTGACACAATCAGTACCACTGGGTGATGCTACTAGTAGTGAAACTTTAGTTTTTTGACGAGTCGAATATGACGAACGTACAGAAAAAAGTTTACTGAATCCAGTATCAATGGCAAGTTTGTTTGCACTCCTTTTAATGAAACGATCACCAAGGATCAGAACACTCATCTGTTCGATCAGTGCATCACGTGCGGTAATCAGTCTACACAGAAACGATAGAGGATGGCGATTCAGAAGGTCGAGTCGTGAATAGTAACTGCAATGTGCAATAAACTTCTTAAAGGGTATCATCAGGATTACAACAGAAATGAACAAGTTATAAGATTGATAATAATGATGATGATCATAATAATACGATTATTAAGTTAACTTTGACGAAAACTATGCTTCAGTAAAACCTTTCCGATGTTTGGGCGCACGTACTGTATATCTCACGTGAATGAGAATGTTTAGGTAAATTTTGGAAATTTAAAATATTGTATGCAAGATTTGACATAATTTTTTGCTTTTTTCACCAGACGCTCTATTTTTATGATTTGTTTGTAGGACACACACTAAGACNTCTCCTGTATTACACAACGACTGGTGCACTTCGTTTTTGATCACATTAGTAAACATCGTTTATCATAAATTTATTAGGGCAAAGGGTTGACTGATTATCAAACTCTTATCAGCACCGTTCAAAGACCATAGCCGAAACTGTTTCTCATCGCAGGCAAGTTGGAAACATTTAGCGATCACGTGACATATTATAGGGATAGCTTTCGATTGCTTTCAAAAAATTGCGAAAAAATCAATTTAAAAATGTTAGCTGCTGCATTCTATTCTTCACGATGAGTAATTTCGAATACTCATCGATCTGAGCGCCCTGAGGATGGCAAGTATTCTGGCAGTTGATGAAACGCAGTTTGGCTCGCGTGCTCAACCATCGTTGGGAAGTTACATTCATAATAGACTGGAGCAAGCATCACCTGAGCCTAAATCTCGGTCTAGCCGGAGCCTGAGGAAAGGCGTGGAACCCCTCGTATCAAATTTCCTTCGTAACGTTTCAACAGTTGAGAGAGACATTTTCGCAGACGGTTAGTCTCCTCACCTGAAGGGTAAACACCCA